AGCAGTAAAAAATGGATAGTATAGTTTTAACAACGAAATACTAATGAAACACGATTTTCTGGATGGTCAAACTAAAAAAAAGTTGAAAACAAAATAATAAAAGTATGTTGATGAATATTTAACAGAGAAAGTATTTTTGAAAAATAAATGTATATAGCAAAACAACTTTTGCTGGGTATCAGCTATTGTAATGAATAGTAGTTCAAGGAACTAATGAAACACGTGAGAGAAGTAGGTAGAAAATTAAGAGTAGTTCGGAAAATGAGGAGATATAGAGTGCCGAAATAAAAGAAGTAGGAAGAATATAAAGAATCCTGCTTTTATGGATATCCAAACTGAAAAAACGAAGAAATAAAATAATGGGAGTTTTTTGAAAAAAGGTTTTCTTGAAATGATCGCAAAACAACGTTCTCCGCGTCAGCTAGTGTAATGATAATTGAACATGAAGGTTACTACAATACGATGAAGTTTCTGGACCGTTAGAAGGCGGACATTCAACGTTACTGGGAGTAACATATAATCGAGGTAACAAGAATGTGATGAAACTGGTATGATTTTTTGCTAACACATCACATGCATTTGTCTTTATATCTGACTCTCATAGAGGGCGCTATTGTTATACGGTTCGTACTCAATAGTTTCGAACATAACTTTTTTGAGTTTAGATTTTATAGTCCAAATTTCATGTGAACTTCACACATACAATTTCACACCAGGAAGTTGCTCTCAGTAAAACTTGATACTGCTGTGAGTGATAAATTCGTACCTAATATTTCGATTTGAAAATGATGAATGAATCACTGATGAATCACTATCAATATTTTCAAGAATGCATTATTCTCTTGAATATTCTAGGATCAGGTATAAAATAATTCAACTCAACTCATAAGTTTCATAATGATATTGATAGTACTTTCAACATACTGAGCAAGCCCAATTAATTTTATATATTGCCTTAGGTATCCTATTTTCAGCACAGAAGATATGCATCATGATGAAATATTCGATTCCATCAAATTTAGGTTGACCTAGAGATCTTTCTGTAGAAGTAACCAAGGATGAACTTTGGATCCCTGAAATGAATGAGCTATCCATTTCATCAAAAAATATTGCCTAATAGACGCTTTCTACAATTTTGACCCCTCAAGGCCTTGATAATTTCAATATTTCAGATTATCTCACTGATGATTCGGAACCTTATATGTATGGTAGGATACCTATATCTGGAATGTTCCACCAAAAAATCAGCATTTCACCTGGGCCCAGGAAAAGGAGATCATAATCCCCATGACCCTCCTGGATCCGCCGTTGAATATCTCAACAGTATTTGTATGATATCGATACGATCGAAACTATCAACTGCAATGCTGAACTCTATAGCTGTGCGGCCCACTTAGCCATTTTCCGACTTGTTCTAGACATTTTCGAACTCGTTTAACTACTAAAAATTGCATCTAGTTATTCAACAATTTTCACTAGCTAGTTTTTATTCTTCCTTTCTATAAATATATTTTCATATGATTCCGATAGATGTAGTTCTTTATATTCACGATTCAATCTAGGACAAACTCAGACCAGTTAATTTTTCTATGGATTTTGTACTCGATGTTTTGTGTCATTTTGACAAATTGACGTTGCCGTCAATGACGTCAACACATCACGTCATACATCAATGACGTCAACACATCACGTCATACTTCAATGTAAATACTACTAGACTTGATTTTCAATGTGAGATTCGTAGTCCATGTTCAGATTTCTCATTTTTGCTATAAAAATTGCAAAAAATGGCTAGATTTGACAAAAAAATGGCTAAAACATTGTTTCGTCCGCAGCGCGCTTTCATTTTCATCAGCTATATTTCAGCCTCCTCTCAACGATCCTTTACCCGTTCTTGGAATTGGCTGTTGGCAACTCTGAACTCGAGCAAAATCAGTCGATTATTGGCTGTATGGCCTACACCATTTCACAAATTTTGAACAAAATGAAAACTATTGATCCATTTTGTGAATAGTTGAATCCATATCATAGTATTTTTGGCATGCCTTTCAATGATTTCAGTTAGGGTGGATAGTGAAGGAAAAGTCCGTTGTGAATTTTCAAATTGACACTCTGTACATCGCCCAGATAGCACAGAATTTTCTATTAATATTCTGACAACGTTCTATTGAACGTTATATATTTACTTATTTCAGAATATTCTAATAAAATGTCATCAGAATGATTATTATATATTCTCATCCTGCAAACAACATTCTATGAACATTTTATTCAAAATAATCTCAGAATATTCTGAGAATATTCTTTTTGGATATTTCGAGAATTATCTTTTCGAATATTCTGAGAATATAAGGAATCGTATCAAAATATATGATAATTGTGTTTTTATCCTTTTATCAATATTTATAATGTTTACCATGACACAACCGTAATAATTGGATCAAACTATATGATATATCGAAGACTGGAACCATTGGCACGATAATACACTACACTGTTTTACCACTAACGAAACCGATTTATCAACGCCTCGACACGTGTTTCGCTAACTATGTTAGCATCTTCAGGAGAAGATTAAAACTTCAATCTTCTCCTGAAGATGCTAACATAGTTAGCGAAACAGGTGTCGAGGCGTTAAAAAATCGGTTTGGTTAGTGGTAAAACAGTGTAGTGTAAACTATATGATAATTATGTTCCTATACTTCAATCAATATTCATAATGTAAACCCTGTCACAACCTATCATTCTCTAGCCTCAATGCTGATTATCCCACTAATACAGTGTTGCCTTCTTGCTATTCATTTTATTTATCAATATAAGGTTCGTGGCAAAGTGGTAAGGTTTCAGGTTCGTATTATTATTATTTTTCTCCAAGAACACTCATCACTGATAGCTTCTGAACATTCCCCCACCCATTGGGTATCCTCAGTGAGATTACCTGCATAAAGGGCTTAACCCTAGGAGATAGGCCGCTGTGACGAATACTCCACATATGATGCACTCCCATTCTTTGACCAACACCAGCCACCTCTGTTTTACTCGAAGGATTTTATTTATACAGTTCCTGCAACATGTACAGTCTCCTTTTTATGTATACAATGTGTGTTATTATGTGTGTTGTAAATATCACTGAGAAATGAACGACTTATTCAATAACTGTTCGTAAAAATGCAATCACAAGATGCTAGGTTCGCATGTCCACCGGAGCAAGCTTTTTTTTATATTCTTCCTTCTCGTTCAATATACCTACTAGGAATATCCTCAAAATACTCAAAACACTATCCATTTTGGATGTTCATAGAACATCCCTAGAATATTTTTATCACATCGTGAGAATATTCTGAGAATATTCGGAAAGAATAATCTGAGAAAGTTCTATAAATGACATTGTGCTATCTGGGTGCTGTATATATGCGGCATTCAAACATTTATTCGAATGAGTCGAAATATATATCTAAATAATGAGGTCCAATGGGGGACTTTCTTCTTGGTCGCAACGAAAGTGAGGTCAAATAATGAATACCATATGATATGAATATAGTGAAACCTACAAAGTGGAGACTTCAAATGGAATGAATTCGCTATTGGGGAAGTGAATGATTTTTCTGAAAATTCAGGATACTCGTCAACGTTTGAATGTATTCACCTACATTTGACGAGCAATACGAAGAATATAACTCATCAGGGATAGCTGGAATCAACCCCAACATGTTTCTTTCAAAGCAATCCTCGGGCTTGTGACCCCTCATTGGAAAGTTGGTTGAAAGAGGAATCCAGGGTACTGATCATATTTCAGTTTGCAGTACATTTGGGGGTCGCAAAAATCAAAATATAATTCAGAAGGTTAATATATTTTCTACGTATTAGAATCAAAATTTCGATTTTTATTGACAGTGATATAGGTTATTTCCACCAGTTTGCAATAAACACTGCGTTTAGAACTGTAAATACGGCAAAAAACCAAATTACTTTTTGCGGCCCTATATAAAATCACTGGTATACGATATCAGATAGCAGTAGTGCCATCAATTGGTCAACACACATTTTGAGCGGTTGATACGTTGAAAAAAAATTCAAAATCACATTCAATTAGGCATTCCAGAACACGTGACTTTTGACAAATTTCTAATGGCCGCCGGTAGGCACACAAGTATTTTTTGTTGATTTACGTAGCAGCAGTATAATCTTTGGTAGATATATCAAATAATAATAATGGTTGTTTTGAATAAAAGTGGATATTTATTATCCTTGGACCGCTATAACAAAGATATTGCGATACGAAAGTATGTGTGCCTACAGTCGGCCATATTGATTTAGATGGTTTGACAGCATCTTGGATAGGTCAATATTATGCCATATTTAAACGTTCGAAAAACTAAAATTTGACTAATACGCTGGATTCCTCTATCCACCAGCTTTCCAATGAGGGGTCGCAAGCCATAGGGTTACATTAACAAAAATCATGTTGAGGGTGGTTTCAGCATCCTCTTCAGTGATATATTCTCGATATTGCTTACAAGCGGTAGGTGAATAAGTTGAATTGTTGACGTATGTCGGGAATTTCAATAAAACTTTCCACCTTCCCGCTAACGAATTTATTCTAGTTGAAGTCTCCACACTGTATACTGAGCATTTTCATGCAATGATCGATAATATAGTATATAGGTGAGTATTTTCAGGTGATTTTTTGTCAAAATCTGCCCTGCTATTGGTAGGTTGGATATTCATCATTCTGAATTCTGGCAGTTGCTGAACGATATTTCATTTTCTCAATTTCAATATGGAATGAAAAATGAGGATCGTAATGAACACTTGTGATTTGAATATAAATCCTGAACCTCATTGCGGTATGATGATTATTTTTATGTCACCATAACATATTCTCAACAGCTCATCAACATATTCCTACATTTATTCGGGTACGGTACACTATTGAGTTATGCTAATGCACAATGTCATAATCGCTTTTAACCTTACCTTCCTACCATGATGTAATAATTAAGTTTAGGTTATTTTGTCATCTTCGTATCAGTACGCGAGAGAGTCTCGCTATGTGACCTCTATTTTCAGCATGTAAATTCAGAATAGTTGATGAGCCGCTCTACAGTTTTCTGGCATCTACTAAATAACTACCGAACGAGAAATACAAAATTCTATTTTATTTATTCGTGAATCATTCCAGTTATAACTCTGCAGTGTTTGACTTATTTACATCTGAATTTTCTAGTTACTAATCGTTCAGGTTAGTTGGTTTGTGAAGTGTAAATTCATTACAAGCACTGGTTCTGATCCGATTATTGATTACAGGAAGATGTCAGAAAAACCAGATACTGTGCCCGGCTTAGGATTCAAAGACAAAGATAAGGCTCTAGAAACTATAAAAATTTTGGAAGGACGAGATCCTGATTATCAAAAATTAGCGATAAAAGGTCTTGTTGGTAGAGCGAAGAGAACATTAACACGTAAGTTGAAATAATATTTTCCAATGAGAATACTATAATTTTGGCTCATCTAAAAATAGATCAAATATTAAATCAGATGATACATATGCAAAGAGATGGTTAGATTGTAACAATTTCAGTTCATCGTGTAACAAATAATATAAACTAAGTACCTAGTCACTTTCTAATCGACGAGTGAAACTTATTAAAATATTTGAGATAAGTTGCCAATAATAATCATTCAGGGTGCAGATTTATTTTTGTTGACATTTATCGAGTATAACCTATAATTGCCATATTTCTACTATTATAAGAAATTCAGTAGGTGAACAGTTTCTAAAAATGTTATTCCATTTCATTCCATTCAAAAAATTCATGACATGTGCATGCCTTGGAAAATTGCTATCTTATTCATGAATACGTTGATACTATACATACAGGGTGTCCCACTAAGGTCAGCGAGGTACGATATTATGGAAACGATAAACCCTACAGCTTAGGGAAAATGAATCAATCGATAGAATTGGCGATGATAATTTGATTGAAAATATTTCAAAGTTTTTTAAATGACCAGTAGGGGGCGAAGTTACTATATGATACAACAAGAAATTCGAAAATCGCTATGTAATGTCACTTTTACACGAAGGAAATAAAGAAATCATTGATTTATCCTCATTTTTGTGTCCAGACTTTTTTTAGTTTCTTTGATAATGATGGTGGGGGAAGCTTTCGAACAAAATATTCTTCAAATTGCTGTATCTTCTATACCCCTTATCCAAATCCAATAAACTTGAGCTTGTTGAGAGATAATTCCACACTCATTAAAAAACTGACTTCGTTTACGGTCGCTAGTTGATACCGCGTCTTATAGAGTGCGTCGTTTACAGACTATTGCATTTCTCCAGATTTTCTCGAGAAATTTTCAATCAAATTATACATGTTTGCATCATTTATCTTGAAGAGCATACAATAAGCCACATTCTTGCGCAAACCGCGATTTGATATCTTCATTTGTCTTTAAGTTATTTGCGAATAACTATTTTCAATGAATGGTGTCTTCAGTGAGTAGGTGTTGCAACAAAAAATAATCAATTATTGTTTCCTGATTTTTCTGCGTTAGTGGTGAATGAGGTTATCACTGGATTCTAAATCAACCTCTTGTCACATTTGTGCATCGACTGAATATTTTAATGCCGCCTACCTACATTGAAAAAATTCTAGTCTATCGAATTGCAATAACGAAATGGATATTTACGTACCAATTAGGAAACGAGTCATTTTGTGTGGCTTGTTACGTAAACCTTTTTCTTTATTTTGAAGAAAAATATTTGAACAGGCATAATTCCAAGTTCTACATGATTTCTACCGATTATGTACAAAATTTAGTGGGTATGTTGACTTCGCCCGTCACTTTGAAGTATCTGTCAAACAATGATATGTTCAAAAATCAAAGACGAAATTCACGAAATAGAGTCGTTCAATATTGTCATAAGTAAAGAATGGCTGATTCAAGTTCAGATTCCCCAAGTGATACCGAGGGAACAGCACAAAATTCACTATTATTCTCTTCGTCCATCCATATTTTCATTACGTGACTATTGTTAACATGAACATTTCATTACCAGTTATGTAATATTTTACTTCACGCAACTGGCATCTGAATATGAAGGTTGCCAGCAACCAGCAGAGCTGTCGTACAATTATTTCCACAGATATCACGATGGAAGTAAATGAATAGGTAATTTGTTTTAAATATAACATGATTTTACAATGCGAAATGAGTTATTTGCAAATAACTCGGAGACAAGTGATGATATCGAATCGCATTGGGAAAAAAAGATCATTCCAAAAATGTAATAATGATACTTAACATGCAGTGATATGAAAATTCACCTGAATATACTTACTACTGAAGATAGATAGAATTTTAGAATAACAATCAGGGCCGTATATCAACCAAGGCAAATCTCGGAAAAATATTGGCATATCTCTTTTGTATTCAAATATCACAAATATTAGAAACAATAATCTGAAAGTCCATATCTTGCAACAAAAAAATATGCGATGCCCAAAACCGCTAAAATATCGCAAAAATTTCACTTTTCTGAGAAGTATTCTGGAATGATGAATATGACGTCATGGGGTTCAACAAAACATTTAATAAATGATTTATCGAAAAAATATTATTTTGGGAAATACTGAATTCTGAAGTTTGCTTGGAATGTTTGTGAATTGTTGATTATGGCATATCAATCGAACCTGAGCGATTGCTTTCTATGAGGTCTGGAGTAACAGAAGTATATACATATATCGATGAGCATCGCAATGTTACAGGACGTTCGATAATGATCAAAATATGTGGTACTGTAAAGGCCAGCTCCCGCGAACACCCCTTTCGATGTATTGCTCCTTCTTCCTGACTGAGATAACTAGAAAAAATCGAACGCCAATGTACGACAGCAGTCAAACTATGATAGAAATAACAATTCAGTATGAATATTGAGTAGCCAGTTCGATCAAATTGATTCAATATGTTTTTTGGACTCACATTTGGACTTTTTTATTGATGAAAGTGAATGAGGACAGTTTTCGAGTATAAATTATATGTATAACTAGCTGACTCTGCAAGAGTTGTTTTGCTATAAGTATACATTATTTCTAGAAAATATTTTTTTCACAAACGTCAAAAGAAAACAGGTTCACGCATTGAAAACAATTTGTGAAGTCTTTGGAAGAAGTCCATGGTAACTCAAAGTGGAGTGGTGTAGTTCATAGATGAAAACCCAAAGTCATCTGAACAACATTTATTAGAATGGTCAGAGACCAATCTCAAAGGAACATGTTTCGGGCTTATATAAGCTCATCATCAGCCAATAGAAAATATTATAGTTCTAGAAAAATCAGTGTTGACTTAGGACATAGATGCAAGAATAACTTAATACTTACATGGAAATGAAAAAAGTAGGCATACGAATAGTATAGTCGATAATAGTGCAAACAAGGCAAAATGCTCCATGATCTGGAAAACAATTGATTTAGAATATTAGGAAAAGGTGAAGGAACCTGAAAAATTAACTGTCACTGTAAAATAATGTAGAATTTTTGTTATAAATCTATTTAATTATAAATTCATGTCATTTAAAGGTCAGGTTCATATTTTACAAGGGCTCACGTGCCCTTGAATTACCGAAAGGTGATAATTGAACTTTGAAAAATCAAACTGGAAGTTTGATGAGGTATCAATATTAACCTGTTGAAGAGGAAGAATTACACGTGCGTGAAACTGAAGGTTATAAAAATTTACATAACAGACGTCAGAAAATTTCAGATGTCAAAAGTCAAGCAGATAATGGAACATTAAGTAACATCAGTTAAATATTATGAATTGAGCAGTGAGCACACAATACCAAAGAACAAGCACTATGTTAGATTGGAAACGGAAAACGAGATTGGTAAACAAACTCTATCTCCATTCCCTGAAACCACCAACCTACAACAAAGAGCAAGGTAAGATAGAATTAAATGGGATGGTTTTATTTAGTGAACTTCAATGAATTGATAAATTTTCAGCAATCAAAATGGGTTTGTTCATTCCGAGAAATTACATTATCATTTTTCGAGGATAAGTTTATTCCATAAATTTCTAAAAGATTTAAAAGGCGACCTTTTTGGCATACATGTAAAATTTCCAAATTATTGTCGATATTGTAACTATGTTTGGAGTTGAGAATGTGGTTGGCAAAGGAACTATACTAATGTAATAAATTCATCTGAAATAGGAGGATTTGTTGCTTTTTCTATGAGTTCTATATGCTCATTAACTCTGGTTTGAATCCGTCTACCACTCTGACCAATGTACTGGGAATTGCAATTGGAATGTGAACATGATAATTTATATACACCTGGCTCATGGAGAAAAGGAATCTCATCTTTTTCATTGATAAACATACGTGATATTGAATCAGAAGTGTAGAAACTCACATTGATGTCATCACAGAATCTGAGAACAAAATTACTGATTTTTTGCTAATCGTTGTTTATTACCAATTAATAATCAAAGAAAACGTTTCAATCCCTTATGTGGGCAAAGTGTCCCAAAAAATCAGTAACCTTTTTCTCAGATTCTGTGATGACATCAATGTGAGTTTCTACACTTCTAATTCAATATCACGTATGTTTGTCAATGAAAAAAATAAGATTCCTCTTCTCCATGAACCAGGTGTATATAAATTATCATGTTCACATCCCAATTGCAATTCCCAGTACATTGACCAGAGTGGTAGACGGATCCAAACCACAGTTAATGAGCATATTAAACTCATAGAAGAAGCAACAAATCCTCCTATTTTAGATGAATATGAAACTAGTGGTTCCTTTGCCAACCACATTCTCAACTCCAAGCATATCATATATGAACATAATATCAATGTCGAGAATAATTTGGAAATTTTACATGCATGCCAAAAAGGTCGCCTTTGAAATCTTTTAGAAATTCATGAAATAAACTTATCCTTGAAAAATGATAATGTAATTTCTCTGAATGTACAAACCAATTTTGATTGCCAAAAATTTTTCAATTCATTGAAGTTCACTAAATAAAACCATCCCATTTAATTCTGTCTTACCGTGCTCTTTGTTGTAGGTTGGTGGTTTCAGGGCATGGAATTTGAGTATGTTTACCAATCTTGTTTTCCATTCCAATCTGACATAGTGCTTGTTCTTTGGTATTGTGTGCTCACTGCTCAAATCACGATATTAAACTGATGTTACTTAATGTTCCATGATCTGCTTGACTTTTGACATTTGAAATTTTCTGACGTCTGTCATGTCAATTTTTATAACCTTCAGTTGCACGCACATGTGATTCTTTCTCTTCTACAGGTTGATATCGGTACCTCATCAAACATTTAGTTTGATTTTTCAAAGTTTAAGTATCACCTTTCGGCACGTGGGCCCTTGTAGAATATGAACCCGACCTTTGAATGACATAAATTTATATTTAAATAAATTTATGACAGAAA